ATAAATATATTTGTCCTAGAATTATTTAATTTATTATTATTATTTTTTTTTATTTTGACCAGGGTGAGACAGAGAGGGAAAATGAGAAAGCATGCTCCCAGGTCCAGGACTTAAGCTGCCATTGGGTTATGTGGGAATCCAGTGCCCAAACCTCCACCTGCTTGCCCCTAAATATCTTTTTTTAAGAGGGAAATTGACCCCAAAACACAAGATGCTGCTTTTTGTTGTTGTTAGGTTTTTGCCATAGGGCATGTGCGCTCACTGGAGAGAGAGAGAGAGGGAAAGTGATAAATCATCCCCCAGAGGGGATGGCCATACTGCAATCCCTTTTCTTCCATTCTCCTCTTGGAATTTTTTGGACACAAACACACACACACATGCCCAGAATGAGTTTGAAGCCCCTCGGTCTGAGACTCAAACCACCACCAGCCATGTGGGAATCCAGTGCCTTAACCACCATACCACCTGCTGGCCCCCAAAATGCAGTCTTTTATAACCAGATCTCAGAAGTGACATATCACGGGACCAGCAGGTGGCATGGTGGTTAAGGTGCTGGACACTCCCACATGACTGACCACAGTTTGAGTCCTGGACCTGGGGGCTTGCTTTCTCACTGCTGCCCACCTCTACCCCTCCCCCACACCTGCTGTATGTGTCTCTGGTCAAATTAAAATAAATTAATAAATAAAAGTAAATAAATAATTATTTTTTAAAAAAAGAAATGAAATATCACTTCTACATATTCTATTGCTCTCACAGACCAACTTTGGTGCAATGTGGGGGAAGGCTGCTTAAGGGTCTGAGTAGCAGAAAATAGAGATCATTGGGAGCCATTTTAGAGGCAGACTATGATAGTGCATAAGGCAAAACTCAGATGTTACTAAAATTACCCCTGAATACCCTATAAATAAATTATAAAGCATAGCAGATGGATATATCCATTCATAAGCCCAATACTGCCAGTTTTTTCTACAGTGCTGAGACACATCACTGTTTTGTTGAGTACTAAAGTTCTTAGCTTGAATTAGAGATCGTGTTTGTTTCAAAAATAAGTATATGGGGGACAAGCAGATAGTGTAGCAGCTACGTCGCTGGACTCCCACATGACTGATCACAGTTTGAAGTCCAGACCCCAAGGCTTGAAAATCAATTGAGCAGAGTCCATTGTTTGTTGTTGTTGTTTTTAAGCGATTTTTGTTATAGGGAACATGTGTTTGCTGGAGAAACAGAGATACAGAAAGCAAGAAATCACCCCCCTGGGGGGATGGCCTGCCACAATCCCTTCTCCTCCGTTCTCCTCTCGGGTTTGGGCATGCATGCATATGCGCCTAGCTTGAGTTTTAAGCCATCAGGTCCAAGCCTCCAACTACGGTTGACTACGTGGAAGACCAGTGACCTAACCATTATGCCATCTGCTGGTTCTGAGTCAGTTATTACTGTTCTGACTCAGCTGTCCATTGCTAAATGTACAATTTCAAAATTTACTTACAAATTGAATATATAGTTTGAAGATGGGGGTTAAAAGTTAACTCAGGTGCTACAGATAGCAACTTTCAGGCAAAAAAGAATCCAGAGTCATCTCCGAGACTTCTTTCCAAAAATAGCTAATAACTGACAGACAGCTAAGAGATCAAACTCAAGCCCTTTCAACTATACATTTACATAACATTGCTCATGTAGTTTAGTCCTAGGCTGGGAAAAGCTTACACTTTGTGAAAACCCTTCGGTGATTCTCACACTTGCTATCATGAGCCATGGAAGCATTGTGATGACCTGTGAAGTATGTGGTAGGCCATTGGTTACTCGTTAAGGTAAGGCACAGAAGCTAGTGAATCATTAACTTTATCGCAAATCAGGGGAAACACAAGATTGTTGCTATAATAAATGTACTCTTGCATGCTTTAGCAAAAATAGAAAAACAGAAAAAGTAGGTAACATGGGAGCAATTAAGACAAAAAAAAACATTGGGACACTACAGAAATTTCTAACTATTAGCTTGTAGTTTTTGAAATGGCTCAGAATTGCTCTCGATAGTATCTCCTTAAACAAACACTCCTAATAACTTGAAAAAGTCCTCATCAAAAAGTTACCTATAGGTTCCTAATATAGACTTCACTAAATTTAAAGTTATGTTGAAATCCTTTTTATTGGGGACCAGCAGGTGGCGTGGTGGTTAAGGTGCTGGACACTCCCACATAGCTGACCACGGTTCAAGTCCTGGACCTGGTAGCTTGCCTTCTCACTTTCGCTCCCTCTCTGTCTCTCTCTGGTCAAATTAAAATAAATGAATAAATAAATAAAATTAAATTTTAAAAAATCTTTTAAAAAATCCTTTTTATTAAGGCAAGAGAACAATAACTTTCAAATTACTACTCTAAAGCCACATGTCAAGAAAGAATAAGATTAAAGGGACCGGCAGTTAGTGTAATGACTATGTCGCTGGACTCCCACATAGTCGACCGCAGTTCGCGTCCCAGACCCGGTGGCTTAAAACTCACTCCGGGCACGTGTGCATGCGTGCCCAAGATGCTGAGAGGAGAAGGGAGGAGAAGGGATTGCGGCGTGGCCATCCCCTCTGGAGGGTGATTTCTCGCTTTCAGTCTCTCTGTTTCTCTCTGTCTGTCTGGCGAGCGCATGCGCCCTATAGCAAAAACCTCTCCAAAAAAAAAAAAAAAAGAAAGAATAAGACTGAAAAGATTTCATTATTTTTAGTGTTTAGTTTTATGACCACTGGAAGTAGTCTAAAACATACTTTAATTTCCTGGGGTTTGTCCTAATTTTTAGTTATCATACATTGGTGCAACAATAAAGGGAATAATTCCTTTAAATACAGGAAAATTACTGCCAATCTTACTGCCACACACTGCCTGTTTTCACTTTGCTAACTTCATGTCCCATGCTTATCCATATAAACTCATATTCTCCACAAAGAGCATAACTGCTAATATTGTATGGCCTACTGCACTTTTCTTTCTTAGTATAAATCATGAAATATTTTTCTTTATTCCTACATAGTTATTGGGTCTTTCTGAGAACCACAGCATAGTCTAAGGGACTCACAGCTAGATTTAAATGGTTTAATATACACTCCTAATTCCATATGCTCTAATCAGTGCTAATAATTAAAAGTTATGCCATTTTTCTCTGTTATTTGTTACTTATATTACAAATACATTATGCATAAAGTCAAAACTCCATTGTTAATTAATCAGGAACCTTTTCTTTAAGTTTATCTTTTATTTATTTCTTCTATAGAGAGGGAGACAGAGAGAGACTAGGAAAGAAAGGCACCTCCAACAGTCTTCATGCTCCAATCCCATCCCCAGCCCAAATCAGAGTGTGCACAGGAAACGAACTTGGGACCTTCCCAGTGACTTCAGCATTGTGAAGCATTTGGTTACCACTGCACCACTATGACTGGTCATGGAAGCATTATTAAATCTCCATTAACATGTCTTAGTTTTCAATGTCTTAAAGACATATTTATTATTATCATTGTTATTTTTAATTTGCTATATGGCACATGTGCTCACCAGAGAGAAAGAGAGAAAGAGTGAGAAAGCAAGCTGCTAGGTCTAGTACTTGATCTGCAGTCAGCCATGTGGGAGTCCACCACCTTAAACACCACAATACCTGCTGGCCCCTATTTTTCAATTTTTCACATCAAGATTAAGTGAACTACTGTGCAAGTTTGTTAAAGGCAGCCCTTTACATTTCTTTTTATGCAGAAAATACTTTGTGGTTCAAGATAGAAGAATCGCAGCACAACTGTCCCTAGGCTGTCAGCGTGCCCTCCAAAACAATAGCAGCGCCTCCTCTAAGGTTCACTCGTCCATCCGGACACAGTGAAATCCCCAGTTCTCCTCCTCGGCAGGAACACTGCAAGGCTAAAGAAAACATAAAACAAGCCACAAATAAGAGTAATTCCACCCTTTTAAATGAACAGCACATAGTGAAAAACCTCTAATAAACCCTAGAGTCCTCCCAGATCAATTTAAAGAATAAATTCCTGTACAGGAGAGTCATTAGATTCAACAAGGAAAAACACAAGCCACCCTTGCTGTCTTCAATTCAGGGTCACAGAAGCCTAGCCATCCCACTAAGTAAGACCTCCACCCTTAAGGCTAAGACTCCTATCTTTTCTTCCTTATTACATGATACAGTGAAGATGCATACATGTGCGAGAGAGAGGGGAACAGCCCCACAGGGTCTGGTTGCACCATGATCCCCTTCTTCCAGTCCTCCAGCACATCAGATTTTGGGTGCTCATGCATGTGCCAGTGTATTCCAGCTGACTGGGCCGAGGATCTGAACCACGGCTGCCATGCACAGACCAGTTTTTCTTATAAACAGTGCATTACCACAGAGTCAAGGAGCTGGCCCAAGACGCCAACTTTGACATCAGGGCAGTGCAGCCTTCACTGTCTGCTCTTATCTCTGTCCCTGAGCAGTATATTATTCTCTAGGGAACTTGGTTTGAAAATAATTTGTTGAATTTAATCCTGTGACTAATGATAGTAGTAAGGAACATTGGTGATCACCCAATTTCAATCTCCCATTAAAAATAACTTTCCTGGGCCAACGTTATACAGCTAATTAATTTTATTCAACAAACACTTAGTGCATTAGAGACATCTGTATGTTAGAGGAGACAGAGGCAGAGATGTTTGTGGTGGAGGATATTTAAAGGTGATGGAATTAAAAAACCTTTCATTTTCATATGGGTGGAACATAACATTTTATTATGTTTTCAAGGGGTTAGTATACATAAGAAGGAATACTAGCTTAAAGTTGGGCAAATAAAAAAGAAATTGGGGGCCAGCGGTGGCATGGTGATTAAGGATGCTGGACTCCCACATGGCTGACAGCTGTTCAAGTCCCAGACCTGGCAGCTTTCTCTCCCCCCACCCCCTCTAGTCAAGTTAAAAATAAATAAATAAATAAAGTTGAATAATTTAAAAAAAAAAAAAAAGGAAATTGGAGGGGCCAGCTGGTGGTATGGTAGTTAAGGCAGCTAGATCCCATATGACCAAGTACATAGTTCAAGTCCTGGACCTAGCGGTTTGAAAAACACAGCAGGCACATGTGCATGTGCCCAAAATCTAGAGAGGAGAATAGAGGAGCGTGGCCATCCTCCCTGCGGGGGGTGATTTCTCGCTTTCCATCTGTCTTTCTGTCAAGTGCACATGCCCTATAGCAAAAATCTCTTTAAAAAATTTTTTTGGTGGAGGGCCAGCAGGTGGCATGGTGGTTAAGGGTGCTGGACTCACTATGGCTGACTACAGTTCAAGTCCCAGACCTGGCGGCTTGCTTTCTCACTTTCTCTGTCTCGCTCTCTCTCACTCTGTCCCTCTCTGGTCAAATTAAAATAAATAAATAAAAGAAAGAAAGAAAGAAAGTTAAATAGTTCTTTCTTTAAAGATAAAGGAAAAAGTTTTAGTAAATAAATGAATTGGAAAAGAACCATCTTACCTCGCATTTCTGTCTTCCCTAGCTCCTGGGACCAGTAGCTGCTGAGAACTGTGTGTGCAGATCCTTTAAACAAGCAAAAATCTATGTGATAATCTTGAAGAGAACAAAGTGATTTGCTGGTAAACAAATAAGCAATTACCTTCAGTTATCCCATTTGACTAAACCTTAGATCACCTAGTCACGTCATTGTGAAATTAGGAATGGAGATAGACAGTGAGACACAGAATTTATAGATAAGTTCCTTCAAATTATGTATCAAATATGTCTTATTGTTTCTGAAGCTGAATTAAACAAAAAACTAATTCTCATCTGGTCTACCAGCTCATTCATTATCTGTCCTTAGCAGAAAAATCAAGGCCTTTATATAAATCTCTATATTTTTCAAGGGATAGTATCAACTTCAGAGATCAGATGCTAAAAATAAAGAAACAAGGGGCCAGGCCTTTGCCTGATCACTGGAGCTAAATCCCACATAGCAAGCATGTGGTTTAAATCCCAGCTCTGGCAGCATGAAAAACATTCCACGCATATGTGCTCAAGATCCTGACAGGATGGAAAAATGGAGAAGGATTGAAGCAGGATAATGCCCCATAGGGGGACGCTTTCTTCCTCTCCCTTCCTCTGTCTCTCTCTCTCTCTCTAGTGCATGTATGTGCTCTCTGGCAAATAAAAATTTTTAAATGAAGAAACAGCATGGAAAATAATTACTGACAGAAATGTCTCTGGGGAAGAAAAGGATAGGGAGAAGACAGGGCCTTCCCATTCGGGAAAATATATTTCGTGTTAGGAGACACCTAAGTAGGTGACCAACCATCTTGGTTTGCCTGATATTGTCCTGATTTAGCACTGAAAGTTCAGCATCCTGAAAAACCCCTTAGTCCCAAGCAAACCCAGATAGTTGGTCATCATCACCCAAAGACCTTCATACTCTAGAAAAGCATTTTTACAGGGAAAGAACTTGCCCTCTGTGCCAGTTAAAGTCTTTGTGAAGTAGCTGTGCATGTGCAAATTTGTTCAGAACCTCTCCTCCACGGGAAAGGGCTGACTTGGGCTATTTGGATATTATTGGGCATTTTCCTAAGTCTTTAAAAGTGCTTTGTTTGCTGAGCTTTGAATTTCATGTGTTTTGTTCCTCAGAGAGCAACTAAGTAAAGATCTTGACGCCATCCTGAATCTTGCCATTTGACCAGTAGAGGAGCCTCAGAAGCTTCTGCCTGGCCCACTCCAACCCTGGATGACACTTCCCCCTCCAGCCTCCTTATCAAGCATTCCCAGCCTTTGCTGGGGAATAGGATGATTAACATTCTGCCCGTCTTTGACATCAATTCTCTGCTTCGGGCTGGTGGAAGATCTGGAAGTGTTGACTCACAGAGCCAGTTTTGTTGTTGTTATTAAAACAGCTAAAAGTTATTAGGCACTTGCCATGTGCCAAGTACAGTATTATATACTTAACATAAGTTGTTTACATAACCCTATGAGATATGATACACTCTTCATAGAAGAAGAAATCGAAACTAAAAAGTTAAGTCATGGGGTCAGCCAGTGGCATGGTGATTAGGGTGACGGGGTCCCACAGAGCTGAATGTGCAGTTTGACTCCCAGATCCAGTGGCCTGGGAAACACGCTGGCACATGTGCATGCATGACCAAAATCCTGAAGAGAGAATGGAAAAGAGGGGATTGTGGCATGGCCATCCCCCTGGGGGATGCTTTCTCACTTTCTCTCTCTCCTTCTGTCTCTCCAGCAAGTGCAGGTGCCCTGAACCAGTTTTTGTTTTGTTTTTTTTTTGTTTTTTTTTTTTTTTAAGATAAGTCATTTACCCAAGGTCAGGAGCTAAGAAGCTAGGAATGCAGACTCAGACTGTCTGACCCTAAAACATCACCCTATTACCTCTTATATTTTGTTTTTTCACATAAGATTTCCATGAAGGAATGGAAGAAGATGGGGAGAGAGAAAAACAAAAGCAGCTCGAAACCAGGCAACTGGGACCAGCAGATGGCGTAATGGTTATGTCGCGAGACTCCCACATGGCTGACTGCAGCTCTAGTCCCAGACACAATGGCTTGAAATTCACGCTAGGCACATGTGTGTTCATGCCCAAAATCCCAAGAGGAGAAGGGATTGTGGCATGGCCAGTCCCCCTGGGGGATTTCTTGCTTTCTGTTTCTCTGGTAAGCACACAGTTCTTATAGCAAAATCTCTCTCACACACAAAAACGGACCAGCAGTTGGCGTAATGACTATATCACCAGTCTCCCATGTAGTCCACCGCAGTTTGAGTCCTGGACTTGGTAGCTTAAATTCACACTGGGCATGTGTGAGTGTGTGCCCAAGATCCCGAGAGGTGAATCGAGGAGAAGGGATTGGGGCATGGGGGGTGATTTCACGCTTTCTGTCTCTCTGTCTTTCTGGCAAATGCATGCACCCTATAGCAAAAACCTCTACAAAAAAAAAAAAGAAAAAGAAAGAAAGAAAGAAAAAAGCTAGCGACCTAAAAAGTCACATGAAAGGCATTTTTTTTTCACCTGGATTTGAGACAGCACAGTGAAGGGCATTTAAATAGCTATTTGTGGGCCATAGTAGCGTATGCTGCTTAACACTGATACTTGGAGGCTGAGGCCACGTGAGAGGCCTGGTCTCAATTCCTGGCCCACCCTAAAAGCTGGGCATAGCAGCATGTGCCTGTGGTCCCAGCTACTCGTGAGGCTGAGGCCGAAGGGTCACAAGCTCGCAGCTACCACAGGCCACACAGCAAGAGTCAGGAGTGGTGACACATACCTATAGTCCCAGCTACTTGGGAAGCAGAGGGAAAATAGTATTTATTATCCTCTTCTTCCATTATTTAACTCTTTTCTAGACTTAAGTAAAGTACCTGTTACAGGGTCTTCAGCCACACCAAACCATGGCGCAAAATATCTGGAGTAAAAGTCAAATCCTTGAGTCTGCCCACCAGACTGTCCTTTAAGGGTGAGAATGAGTCCTTTCACCTTCCCTGTTTTTTCGACTTGTGGCAGAGTCTCTGTGTTCACTTTCAGGTTCTCCAGAAATGACCTTATTTATAAAGCAATATATTAGAGCCAACCCATTTCACAGACCACCCAGTGCGCAGACTTGGCTTCTTGCCCACCCTGCTCAGCAGGAGGAAGGAAAGAGCAAGGAGTGGTAACTTCCCACTGGGAAAAGAAACTCTTCTGGCGGTGTAGATCCAGCACAGCCAGACTAAAGCGGAACTGTAAATCTGGGGACTTGGCCCTCCCCAAAGTGCTGACACAGCCCAAAGTTTAGTTACCTGTCGTAAGTGTCACTGAGCCGGACAAGGAGCTTCCGGGTATCTGGAGAATAGCGGATGTCCTGGACCAGTGTGTCGCCTATGGCAGTCTGTGGAAACAGACAAAAACCCCTCAGGGCACACCCTGGCTCAAGTCCTTGATCCCCTGAAACAGGGAATGAGCTTTCATGCGGCATCTGCTGTGAGCCAGGCACACCCACCATCTGCAGTCTCTGAGAGTGCCAGTCCAGTTTGAAGGCTCAAAGAGACACCCAGGCAGGGGAACCAGCAGTTAGCGTAATGGCTATGTCGCTGGATTCCCGTGCAGTCGACCACGGTTCGCGGCCCCGACCCGGTGGCTTAGAACTCACGCTGGGCGCGTGTGCGTTGTGCCCAAGATCCCGAGAGGAGAATGGAGGAGAAGGGATTGCGGCATGACCATCCCCCCTGGGGGGGTGATTTCTCGCTTTCTGTCTCTCTCTGTCTGTCTGGCGAGTGCACGCGCCCTATAGCGAAAACCTCTCAAAAAAAAAAAAAAGACACCCAGGCATGGCCCACTTCCTGGCTACCAAGAGGCTTTCCAGGTGCCACTTATTAATAGCTTCCCCTCTGCAAGCATCAAAACAGGTGTTGCTTGAACATGCTTACTACTTGTCTCAACACACAACCCCTTCAAATGAGTATTCTCTCCACAGAGAAGGGGATGAAGACATAAATAGGTCCTTGGTCTCTCACTCACACACATACAGAACACACACAGCTCTCTCACACACACATAGATCCACATCTTTATTTCCTTTTTTAAAAGAGTAACTTATTTAATTAATTAATTTTATTTATTTGACCAGAGAGAGAGAGAGAGAAGGAGAAAGGAAGCCACCAGGTCTGGGACTCAGATCGTCGTCAATCACACGGGAATCTAGCACCCCAAGCACCATGCCACCTGCCATCCCCTGACTCACATCTTGACTCAGGTCTGAGTGGTCCTGGAGTCAAAGTCCGGAATCCTTCCTTATTACTGTGTACTATTTTTAGAGATGGGGTCCTCATACCTAACTCTTTGAGTTGTGAGGATTAAAGGAAATAATACAAGGGGACTTAAAAGTTCATGGGAAAATGGAATTAAAATATGAGCTTACTTTAGTGCACAAGATTATGAAATTCATGCATAGCTTTGTATAATATGCATTTTCCATTAACTTCTTTATTTTTTTTTTGAGAGGTTTTTGCTATAGGGTGCATGCACTCGCCAGACAGAGAGAGACAGAGAGACAGAAAGCGAGAAATCCCCCCGAAGGGGGTTGGCCATGCCACAATCCCTTCTCCTCTGTTCTCCTCTCAGGATCTTGGGCATGCACACACATGCGCCCAGCGTGAGTTTAAGCCGCCGGGTCCAGGACTCGAACCGTGGTCAACTACATGGGAGTCCAGCGACATAGCCATTACGCTAACAGCTGATCCCTTTTCCATTAACTTCTTGAAAAGCCCTCATTTACGTGGAATACCTACAGCAGCTAGAACATCCTACATGGCAAGGACTCAGGACTGGAAGTCAGGCCCAGAGGCTTCCTCTAATGCTGCTCTGCATAACAAGCACACCCCTATCACTGAGGCTGTATAGTACAGACCACTAATGCATTTTCTCAAGGTATTTTGGCTCCCTCTACCCAATGTCGCACAAAACCTTGTTCAAATCCAAGAACATTGTTTGTTTGAGGATGACTTGGAGTAGTGAGGGAGCTTATGAGGGGACACTCTGCTCACAAGTCACCTCCCTTTGGCATCACCCCCAGCTGCCAGACAGAACTGATGACAATAACAACAGTGATGGCAGTCATTAGGGATTTCAGGTTTTCTAACCCTCATTAGGAACCAAGACACTCAAGTGCCCATGGCCAAGACATCCCCTGATTTGGGGGTTGGGGTCACCTGGGCTTTCTGCCTGTATGACTGTGGGCTGACCAATGTCCCTTCCTCAAGAAATGGTGACTCTTACACCCAGATTCCATCTGCCCTCAGAGACCTTACAATGTCTCTAATATTGTCCTTCTCCACATGGGTTCCTATGTTGACTTGAAGGTTTAATTCTCAGTTAGGGATCTTATTCCAATTTATAAGGAGGGAACATATAATGACCATACTCAAAATAATACTTTATTATCCCATTTTATAAAAAGAATTATTTATTGGGAGACCAGCAGTTAGCGTAATGACTATGTTGCTGGACTCCCACGTAATCGACCGTGGTTCGAGTCCCAGACCCGGCGGCTTAAACTCACACCGGGCGCGTGTGCACGCATGCCCAGAATCCCGAGAGGAGAACGGAGGAGAAAGGACTGCGGTGTGGTCGTCCCCCCTGGGGGGTGATTTCTCGCTTTCTGTCTGTCTCTGTCTGTCTGGCGAGCGCACGTGCCCTATAGCAAAAAAGCCTCTCAAAAAAAAGAATTATTTATTGGGACCAGCAAATGGCATAATGGTTACATCACTGGACTCTCACATAGTTGATTGCAGTTTGAGTCCCGGACCCGGTGACTTAAAAATCACACCAGCTACATATGCATGAGTACCCAAAATCTTGGGAGAATGTAGAAGGGATTGCAGCGTGGTCATCCCTGCTAGGGGGTGATTTCTCACTTTTTCTCTGGTGAGTGCACATGCCCTATAACAAAAAAATCCTTCTAGGGAACCAGCGGTTAGCGTAATGGCTATGTCGCTGGACTCCCACGTAGTCGACCGCGGTTCGTGTCCCGGACCCGGTGGCTTAAAACTCACGCCGGGCGTGTGTGCGTGCGTGCCCAGGATCCCGAGAGGAGAATGGAGGAGAAGGGATTGCGGCGTGACCATCCCCCCTGGGGGGTGATTTCTCGCTTTCTATCTCTATGTCTCTCTCTGTCTGTCTGGCGAGCGCACGCGCCCTACAGTGAAAATCTCTCCAAAAAAAAAAAATCCTTCTAAAAAATATAATTCTTTTTAATTATTGTATTATTATTTTCTAATGTGACCAGAGAGAGACAGAGACAGAGAGAAGTTGAGAAAGCAAGCCATCAGGTCCAGAACTCAAGCCATAGTTGGCCATGTGGGAGTCCAGTGCCTTAGCCACCGCATTACGTGCCAACCCCCTATCATCCCATTTTACAAATGCTGACTCTTAGGCTGAGAGAGACTTGGTTAAGTTCTTTCCATATGAACGAGATCTATTTTCCCATTGACATACTCACAGTAATTCATTTATACATTTGGCTTGTCTCCAGAAACTCAAGCCATGGGTGGGGCTGAGTGTAAAATCAGAATCCTTGTCTGTTTATACTGTCCAAAAACTTAGATAAAGCAAAACACTAAAGAGATTATAAATGAAAATTTACTGCAAAACATACCAGGGGTACTCATAATAATCCATTTCATGGAATCTATTTTTTTTCTTTATGTGTGTGTGTGCACGCGCATGTGTATGTGAGCATACGTGTGTGGTGCACACAGGATCTGTGTTGTAATCCTCCTCCCTCAGCCTCTTATGTAGCTGGGTCCACAGGAATGTGCCACCATGCCCAGCTTTCTTCTTTTAAGGGATGACATTTAGAACTCAGTGAGATAATACAAGTGAAGTAAAAGCACATGGTGCAGCACAGAGACACAAAAATGTTCTCTGTTATTGTTATTAAGTTCCACCTCCACAAAGCTCAGGCAGAGGCCAGGCTGTACACTTCATCTTCCCTATTGATGCCCATGTTTTCCTGGTCTCCTCCACCAAAACTCAGCCCTCCACCTCCATCCCATCCTCCACCACAGAAATGTGGGACACTGTCAGCTGTCAGTTTCCAGTCTACCCCTCTACCCAGTTTGTCTGGATTTCATAGAATAACCCAATTTCTGCAAGAAACCCCCAACTTTCATACCTGAATTGCTTGTCCATGACTTTTCTAGCTAAGAAAGGATAGAAATTCAACACCTCTTCATGTCCAAAGGCTGATCTCCTCCCAGCCACTAAAGTTTCCTGAAGATATCCTATTCCTTCTCACCAGTTCCTTCAGTTTCTTCATTCTGAGACTGCCCCTCAAAAGTCCCTCTTCCCCAACGCTATCATGGTGGCTAATGCTGACAATTGAAAGTCAAGGAGGGCTAACCCCATGGCCTGCTGGGTAAGGAAGCCAGATCCTGTACAGCTGACCATGCGGGTCAAAATTCCAAGCACTGTCAACTTGGAAAACATGCTGAGTATGTGTGTGTGTGTGTCCCCCAAATCCCGACAGAATGACAAAATGAAAGAGAAGGGATTGTGGCATCAACACACCCCACCCGGGAGTGCTTTCTCCCTCTACCTCTTTATCTGTCTCTCTCTGGCAAGTGCACGCACCCTCTGACAAATTTTTAAAAAATGAGTCAAGAGAAACTGGTCAAACTTTTGTCAAATAGATTGAATATTAAAATTCAAACCTGAGGGGCAGGGAGGTGGCATGGTGCTTAAAGGCGCTGGACTCCCACGTGCCCAACCATGATTCGAGTCCTGGACCTGGCAGCTTGCTTTCTCACATTCTCTCTCACTCTCTCTCTCTCTCTCCCTCTCTCTCTCTCTGTCCCTCAAGAAAGAGAGAGAGAGAGGAGAGAGAAAGAAAGAAAAAAAGAAAGAAGAAAAAGAAAGAGAGAGAGAGAAAGAAAGATTATTTATTTAAAAAAATATATTCAAACCTGAAACACACCATGCACTATTCATCAGAGCTTCAACTGGAAAATTGGTGATGGTAGAAGGCTTATGTTTTAGGACTAAATGGAACTGAATCTTTGTATTCAGACAACAAATGACCAATCACACAAGCTGAGGTTTGATTCTTTTCACCAACCTTTATCACATCCTCCACTTCATGGAAGTCCTAGATGAAAAAAAAAAAAAATCATTGTAAAACAGGCAACCTGTCAGTTGTACACTGTTTATGGCAATAACCAGCAAAAGCTGACCTGGGGATGGGCTGGATAAAGAGGCAGGTCCAGGATGATATCATCATCTGCTCTTTTGGCCTTCAGTTCCCCACTCAGAGTGACAAAGGTCAGAGTGCTATTCGTGTTTTCTGGCCAAAAGAGGAATCAGGAAATAGAAAGATAAACTTTGTTATATATTTGCATGTTTGGTTTTTTTTTAAGAGACTTTTTTTTTTCTATAGGCACATGTGCTCACTGGAGAGACAGAGACAGAAAGAAAGAAAGAAAACATCTCCCAGCAGGATGGCTACATTGCAATTCCTTCTCCTCCTGGGATTTTGGACACATGTGCACACATGTCTAGCATGAGTTTAAAGCCACAGGATCTAGGACTTGAACTGTAGTCAGCCACATGGGAGTCCAGGGCTTTAACTACTATGCCTGCCACCTGCTAGCCCCCTGCATGTCTGTTTGAATCCTCTTCGTGTTATCTTTGGTTTTCTGGCAGTGGTGTCCTTTCCTGAAATGGGCGTCCAGATTTGGATTGCTGAGGTCCAGAGCGGAGAAAATCCTTACTGGATTCTAATGAGAAAAAACAACATAACTGATTGGACTTGGCATCATGCCACAAGGTTTTGAATCCCAGTTCCTTACTGTTAAACTCCTTAAATTTCAGTTTTCTCATTTATTATGTGAGGCTTATAAACCTACTTCATAGAGTTATAATATTTTCTAATTCAGATTTTTAAATATTCACCGAAATAACGATAGGGTCTTAACCTTTAGTAATCTAAGATATGCCAAGAAGATGACAAAATACCAAAACAAGTAAGTTGCAAACAACAGTCTTATATGAAACAAATCAGGTTTGTCTTAATAAACCAAACTTAATACACTATGCATATGGGTGGCATACACAAACATGCCTCAGAAGTTTGTATTTGCCTCTGCCTGGAATGCTGTTTTTGCACTCTGGCTCTTTGCACAAAGACTTCATCTTATTCTTCAACTGGGAGACCCCCTTTTCTTGTAGGTACTGTTATCCAGATTCTATACCCCCTCCAACTTCGCTCCTCAGGGCTGGAAGTGAGTGAGGTAAGGAAGTCCCAAAGACAAAATTCAAGGAGACACCTGCTCTCAGGTGCAACCTGAGTCCTTGCTTGCCTCCCCTTAGACCCGGCCCTGACCCTACTACAGGATTGTTGGTGGCTGACACCACTTAGCTGAGTCCCTCTTTGTGCACTGTCCTTGGCTGAATAGAGCTACCTTGTCCAAAATCACATCTCTTTCCAGTTCTTGAAGAATGGTCAATGGAGGATATAAAGGTCTGAATCTTTGTTTCTATTTAGAACTACACTACTTGGGCCAGTAGGTGGTGTGGTGGTTAAGGTGTTGGACTCCCACATGGCCAACCATAGTTCAAGTCCTGGACCTGGAAGCTTGCTTTCTCATGTTCTCTCTCTCTCTGCTGAGTGCATTAAAATTAATAATAATAATAAATACAATGAAATAATTATTTTTTTAAATAAAGGAATTATGGGGCTGGCAGGAAGCATGGTGGTTAAGCCACTGGACTCCCTCATCGGCTGAATGCAGTTCAGTCCCAGACCTGGCAGCTTGCTTTCTCACTTTCCCACTCTCTCTCTCTGTCTCATTTTGGTCAAATTTAAAAATAATAATAATGATGATGAATAAAATTAAACAAAATAATTCTTTTAAAAATGAAAAATAAACAAACTACACTACTTGAAGAAGCTTCCAACTTCACAGCTCCTTGTGGATTTGGCTTAGGCCTTCCTTTGTCGCTACTACAAGACTTTGCAGTTTGACTTCTTCCTCTGTCCAATCCTGCTTTATTTCTTTCTTTTTTTTCTTTACTATGATAGAGAGTGTGTGTGTGTATGTGCAAGAGAGAAAGAGAGAGACAGAGAGAGAAGAGAAGCCTTTCCCAGAGTCTGGTCACACTGCAATCCCCTTCCTCCAGTCCTCCAGACAATCAGGTCTGGGGTACTAGAGCACATGCTCAGTGTGTTTCAGGCTGACAGGCCAGTGATCCAAACCGTGGTTGCCACGTGGGATCTGGTTTCTCTTGAGTAGCACATTACTACTACCCCACAGGGCCAGCCCTCGTCCTGCTTTCTTCACTCCCCTTGAAACGCTAAGCCCAAGAATATCCTTCTCCAAAATCTTCCCACATGCAGATGTGTCTCAGTCTGCTTCCTGGGAGAGTTGGGCCTGTAATCCCTTGTCTTTCCATCTCTGTCTGAAGTAACTCCCCCAAAGATAGGACTCTGTCATCTCATCCTGGTGAGTCCTTTGCTTATACTCCAATTTGCAGTCTATGCTTGTTTAAAGCTGCATCTATTTTCCTTTTTGGGACATTTCTAAGGGTCTCCACAAAACTTTGATTGTTATCCATTTAACTATTTAAATGCAGCTAACATGCTGTGGAAGGCCACATGTTAGATCTTGCACATGAACAACCGTTTGTCCATTTTGTTCCCTTACTCTAACATGGCTGTCTGCTTCTGTAAACCTGCTTGCTCTTGAGAAAATAGCTTGTGCTAGACATACAGAAAACCATATCCAGGGGGCCGGCAGGTGGCATGGTGGATTGGGACGCTGGACTCCCACATGGCCAACCACGGTTCAAGTCTCGGACCTGGTGGCTTGCTTTCTCACTTCCTCTCTCTCTCTCTCTGTCTCTCTCTGATTAAACTGGAAAATAATAGTGATAATAATAAATAATAAATAAAGTTAAATAAAATAATTCTTTAAAAAAAAAAAAAAGAAAAAAACCATATCCAGGACGACATCCTGTACCTGCTACTGTCTTTGCTAACTAGTCTGAAACTCTTTTGTTTAGCAATGTAACTGCTTACATGGAAACCTCACTCCCCTCAGAAATAATTAACCTGCTTGATTCAGTTTCTATAACTGTTTGCATAGGGAACCAGCAGTTAGCGTATTGGCTATGTCACTGGACTCCCACATAGTCAACCGCGGTTCGCTTCCCAGACCCGGTGGCTTAAAACTCACGCCAGGCGCTTGTGCCTGCGTGCCCAAGATCCTGAGAGGAGAATGGAGGAGAATGGATTGTGGCATGACCATCCCCCCTGGGGGGTGATTTCTTGCTTTCTGTTTCTGTGTCTCTGTCTGTCTGGCGAGCGCACACGCCCTATAGCGAAAATCTCTCCAAAAAAAAATAATAATAATAATAAAATAAAAAATAACTGCTTGCATAGAAACCCCTGGTAACTAACCCCCTATAAAGAGACTACTCAAACTTCGGTTGGGGCTACAGTTCCAACTCTTGGGCCCCCAAGCCTCAGGCTGTAGTTGCTGGCCAGCTAATAAAGACTCCCTTTAAACTTAATCTGGCTTTGGCTGTTGTTTATTTGGTGGCACTCTACACCAATGGGAACTATCAGGACAAGGTGCTGTAACCTCTCTTAAAAAAACATACATAGTCAGGGCTCAAGAATTTTTAAAATTTAAAGCAAAGAAGCTCTTACAGAGGAATGAATTTCAATGTGGGTGGGGAAATATTTGAACCAAAGTGTGCCTTCTGATTCCCTGATACATCATGTGAGGCTCCTGTTCTATCTTCTTCCTCTGTCCAATCCTGCTTTATTTCTTTCTTTTTTTTCTTTACTATGATAGAGAGTGTGTGTGTGTATGTGCAAGAGAGAAAGAGAGAGACAGAGAGAGAAGAGAAGCCTTTCCCAGAGTCTGGTCACACTGCAATCCCCTTCCTCCAGTCCTCCAGCCAATCAGGTCTGGGGTACTAGAGCACATGCTCAGTGTGTTTCAGGCTGACAGGCCAGTGATCCAAACCGTGGTTGCCACGTGGGATCTGGTTTCTCTTGAGTAGCACATTACTACTACCCCACAGGGCCAGCCCTCGTCCTGCTTTCTTCACTCCCCTTGAAACGCTAAGCCCAAGAATATCCTTCTCCAAAATCTTCCCACATGCAGATGTGTCTCAGTCTGCTTCCTGGGAGAGTTGGGCCTGTAATCCCTTGTCTTTCCATCTCTGTCTGAAGTAACTCCCCCAAAGATAGGACTCTGTCATCTCATCCTGGTGAGTCCTTTGCTTATACTCCAATTTGCAGTCTATGCTTGTTTAAAGCTGCATCTATTTTCCTTTTTGGGACATTTCTAAGGGTCTCCACAAAACTTTGATTGTTATCCATTTAACTATTTAAATGCAGCTAACATGCTGTGGAAGGCCACATGTTAGATCTTGCACATGAACAACCGTTTGTCCATTTTGTTCCCTTACTCTAACATGGCTGTCTGCTTCTGTAAACCTGCTTGCTCTTGAGAAAATAGCTTGTGCTAGACATACAGAAAACCATATCCAGGGGGCCGGCAGGTGGCATGGTGGATTGGGACGCTGGACTCCCACATGGCCAACCACGGTTCAAGTCTCGGACCTGGTGGCTTGCTTTCTCACTTCCTCTCTCTCTCTCTCTGTCTCTCTCTGATTAAACTGGAAAATAATAGTGATAATAATAAATAATAAATAAAGTTAAATAAAATAATTCTTTAAAAAAAAAAAAAAGAAAAAAACCATATCCAGGACGACATCCTGTACCTGCTACTGTCTTTGCTAACTAGTCTGAAACTCTTTTGTTTAGCAATGTAACTGCTTACATGGAAACCTCACTCCCCTCAGAAATAATTAACCTGCTTGATTCAGTTTCTATAACTGTTTGCATAGGGAACCAGCAGTTAGCGTATTGGCTATGTCACTGGACTCCCACATAGTCAACCGCGGTTCGCTTCCCAGACCCGGTGGCTTAAAACTCACGCCAGGCGCTTGTGCCTGCGTGCCCAAGATCCTGAGAGGAGAATGGAGGAGAATGGATTGTGGCATGACCATCCCCCCTGGGGGGTGATTTCTTGCTTTCTGTTTCTGTGTCTCTGTCTGTCTGGCGAGCGCACACGCCCTATAGCGAAAATCTCTCCAAAAAAAAATAATAATAATAATAAAATAAAAAATAACTGCTTGCATAGAAACCCCTGGTAACTAACCCCCTATAAAGAGACTACTCAAACTTCGGTTGGGGCTACAGTTCCAACTCTTGGGCCCCCAAGCCTCAGGCTGTAGTTGCTGGCCAGCTAATAAAGACTCCCTTTAAACTTAATCTGGCTTTGGCTGTTGTTTATTTGGTGGCACTCTACACCAATGGGAACTATCAGGACAAGGTGCTGTAACCTCTCTTAAAAAAACATACATAGTCAGGGCTCAAGAATTTTTAAAATTTAAAGCAAAGAAGCTCTTACAGAGGAATGAATTTCAATGTGGGTGGGGAAATATTTGAACCAAAGTGTGCCTTCTGATTCCCTGATACATCATGTGAGGCTCCTGTTCTATCCCTGCAAGCTCCCCTGCTTCGTTAGTCACAAAGATCAGAGATCTCTTATTTAAAATAAAATGGTGGGCTAGTAGGTGGCATGAGATTAAGGTGGCTGGATCCCACGTGGCTGTCGGAGCAGTTCAAGTCCCAGACCCAGTGGCTTGAAAATCTAGCTGGGCATGTGTGCGTGTGTATCCCAAATCCTAAGAGAAGAATGGAAGAGAAGGGATTATAACATGGCTATCTCCCGGGGTGGGTGGGTGATTTCTCTCTTTTTCCCTCTCTGTCTCTCTCTCTAGTGAGTGTGTGTACCCTGCAACAAACTTCAAAAACAAACAAATAAATAATAAAATAAACAATAAAATGGCATTCTAGGGAATACCTGGCTGGCCATATGGTTTCCAACAATGCCTGGTGCACTTAGGCAGGCCTAAGTGTTACTGAAGTTGCTGTTTTTGTTTCTACATTGCAAATTACATGAAGTAAACACTGTGCCTTCTTGATACCAAGGACTTTGGTCCCTCAGAAAGAATGGCCAAGAATTTATTAATAAATATTTGCTTAGAGATAGGTTCATTAAAAAAAACCACATTACTTATTTTGTGAAACAGCACAGCCGCTGAAGCCAGGGTGGCGTGGCCACAGAGAGGGACCTCACTTGCCGGTGTGAACCACCTTAGTCCAAAGCAGGAACCTTCAGAGGAGAAAAAGCCAAAGAGAGATGAGATCATTCCCATGCAAACAAGTCACAAATTTCTCATGTTCTTCTCTCCTAACTACTTTACTAGCATGGGTAAGAGGTGAAATATGTTGGGAAAGGAGAAGGAAGGGTAGGTGAGCATCCTAGGGCCCCCCTCCCTAGTGTGAGGCCTGGAGCTGAGACATTAGGTTCACCAACACCCTCTTTCCCCAGATGACCTGAAAACCAAATCAGAATCTCCCTCTCTATCTATTGCCTGCAAATAACAAATAATAAATGGACGTTTTCCCTTAAATATCAAAAAATAAAAGTCATTTCCCTTAAATATCATTCCCCCACCTAAAAAGAACTTCTGATGCCATTCAAGAATAATGTAAAAAAAAGTGTATATTTACTTTGCGTAAAGTCATCTGTTGGGTGTAGTTTTCGGATGAAAGCAGTTTCAGATAGGTTCATTTCTCTTGCAATTTTTTGATGCATGTCTTCATCCAATTTCTTAATTAGAAACAAAACGTTATTGAGACTCCAGCAAAACAAATCAGACTTCCTTAGACATCGACTACCGCCAATTAACTAAGCAGTTTATTTATCTATTTTTTTAGACAGTTTTGTTTTTGTTTTTGTTTTTTTGCTATAGGGTACATATACTCTCCAGAAAGACAGAGACAGAGAGACAGAAATCGAGAAATCATCACCGCCACCCCCCCTGGGGGAGGATGGCTATGCCACAATTACTTCTCCTCTGGTCTCCTCTTGGGATCCTGGGAACACATTTATATGCGTCCAATATGAATTTCAAGCCTCCAGGTCCAGGACTTGAACCGTGGTCAGCCATGGGGGAATCCAGCAACATAACCATTATGCCATCTGCTGGTCCCACTAAGCAGTTTATTATTATTAAAGTTATGGGGGGGTAGCAGGTGGCGTGAAGGTTAAAGGAGCTGGACTTCTTCATGGCCAACCATGGTTCAAGTCCTGGACCTGGCAGCTTGCTTTCTCTCTCTCTCTCTCCCCGCCCCTAGTCAAATGAAAATAAATAAATAAATAAAGTTAAATAAAATAATTCTTTTTAAAAAATTTAACAATATGGGATCAGCAGATGGTGTAATGATTACATCACTGGACTTCTACATAGTCGACTATGGTTTAAGTCCCAGATCTTGTGGCTTAAAACTCACACTAAGCATGTGTGCATGCATGCCCAAAATTTTGAAAGGAGAATGAAGAAAGGATTGCGGTGTGGCCATCCCCCTGAAGGGTGATTTATTGCTTTTTGTCTCTCTCTCTCTCTGGCAAATGCACATGCCCTATAGCAAAAATCTCTCTCAAAAAAAAAAAAAAAGGATAGCCCAGGACCAGCAGATGGAATAATAGTTACTTCGCTGGACTCTCCCACGTAGTTGACCATGGTTCAAGTTCCAGACCCAGGGGTTTAAAACACAGGCTGGGTGCATGTGTGTGCATGTCTAAAATCCCAAGAAGAAATGGAGGAGAAGGGAGTATGGTGTGGCCATCCCTCTCGGAGGTGATTTTTCACTTTCTGTCCCTCTGTCTCTTTCTCTCTGGTAAGCACACTGCTCTATAGCAAAAATCTCTCTTAAAAAAAAAAAAAGTTATGCCTCAAAAGTAACACAGTGAAGTAGCCCTGTGAAGCTGGAAGTCATAATGGCTGACCATGGGTTCTGATCCTCAAGATGGCCTGAAAACACACTGGGCATGTGTAGGCACCAGCACCCTGAGATGAAGAAGAGCTGGGGAAAGGGATTCCAGTGTGAGGAGACACTGTCAAGGGTGCTAATCTCTCTCTCTCTCTCTCATACTTTCTATTATTTCTGTCTATCATGTTAATATAAATGCTTAAAAGGAAATAACTACCAAGAAATTCAACACTTTTTTTTTTAATTTGTTACAGGGTGCATGCACTCACAGAGAGAAAGAAAGGGAAAATGAGAAAGCACCGCCTGGGAGGGATAACAAGGCCACAATCCCTTCTCCTCCATTCTTGTCTCGGGATTTGGGGCATGCACATGCACACACTCGCATGTAATTCAAGCCATCGGGTCTGGGACTCTAAATACAGAGTCAGCTAAGTGGGGTCCAGCCACCTTAACCATCACACCACCTACATGGCTCACAAGGCATTTTGATAAAGATATGCTTTTCACAAACAGGTACACCAATGGAATAGAATAGAGATCCCAGAAATAAACCCCAAAATACACAGCCAACTGATTTTTGACAAAGGATACCAGTCAATCCAGTGAGAAAAGGAAAACCTCTTTAGCAAATGGTGCTGGAAAAACTGAGTATCCATCTGCAGAAAGATGAAACTGGATCCCCATCTTTCACTGTTAACAAAAATCAACTCAAAATGGATCAAAGATCTGAACCTAAGACCTCAAACTATAAAACTACTGGTGGAAAACACTGGGGAAACTCTGGAAGACATTGAGATAGGCAAAGACTTCTTAAATAAGACCTCCCAAAGCAAGGCAATAATCTAAAATAGGCAAGTGGAATTACACCAGATTAAGAAGTTTCTGCACAGCAAAGGACACCATAATTAATGTGAATCAACAACCTTCAGAATGGGAGGTTATTTTTGTAAACTATGCCTCAGATAAGGAACTAATAACCAGAATACACAGGGAACTCAAGTGGCTTACCTGAAAAAAAGATTAACACAATTAACCCAATTAAAAGATGGGAAAATTAACTGAACAAAAACTCACTAAGGAGACCTATGAACAGCCAAAAACCATAGGAAGAAATGCTCAACATCCCTCATCATAAGGGAGATGCAGATTAAAACCACAATGAGATACCACCTGACACCTGTCCAAATGGCAAAGATTAAAAATACAAAAATGTTAAATGTTGGCAGGGTTGTGGTGAAAGGGGAACTCTCCTACACTGTTTGTGGGAATATAAACTGGTCCAGCCACTGTGGAAAACAATATGGAGGTTCCTCAAAGATCTACAAATAGAACTACCATATGATCCAGCAATCCCACTCCTGGGTATCTACCCAAAGGACAGGAGAATGCTCAGTCAGAAAAGTGCTTGCACATCAATGTTTATTGTGGCATTATTCACGATTGCTAAGACATGGAACCAACCCAAATGTCCAAAAACAGATGAATGGATTGAAAAAGTGTGGCACATATACTCTATGGAATGCTATTCAGTCATAACAAATAACAAGACCCTGGTCGAATATGGAAGATCTATCACTGAGTGAAGCAAGCCAGGCTATGAAAGAAAGATACTGTATGTATCCACTTACTGTACACTTACTGTCTGCACTCTATGGTAGAGACTGAAAGACTGGAGGGTATAAAAGCAGTGAAATAGTTATGGACACTGGAGACAGTGTGGAAGAAAGGTGGGAGAAGGGAAATGTAGAGGGAAGGAAATAAGGATGGAAAAATGAGAGGCAAGACATTTGTGGGACACAGAAATGGTTTATTATCTGTTGATGATAACATGGATATTATTCTCACCTGGACTGGTCTGAGATGTAGTTCCTGTTGGGTAAATTCTCTTTACAAGACAAAAGTTGTATAGAAATTGAATGTTTACCAAAAAAAAAAAAAAAACCCAAAAGTTAAAAAAAAAAAAAGTGGGCTTTAGAAGCGGAATTGGATTTGTATTCTGGGTTACCCTCCAGTATCAGTGTAAAAGTGGGCCAGTCTTTTAAATCTTATGAAGCCTCAGTTTCACACCTTTAAAATGGGGATAATAGCATGTAAGTAAAAAGGTTTATTGGGAAGATATACACATGCATACATACAAACATACTTTCAAACATTCATTTTTTTTTTTTCTCGCTATAGGGCATGTGTGCTCGCCAGACAGACAGAGAGAGAGAGAGAAAGAAAGCGAGAAATCGAAATCACCCCCCAGGGGGGATGGCCACGCCGCAATCCCTTCTCCTCCATTATCCTCTTGGGATCCTGAGCATGCATGCACACGCGCCCGGTGTGAGTTTTAAGCCACCGGGTCCGGGACACGAACCGCAGTCAACTACGTGGGAGTCCAGCGACATAGCCATTACGCTAACTGCTGGTTCCCTCACACATTCATCTTAACTCAAGAAAAAAATGGTTTGCCCAGTCACTGTAGCATGGCAGTAACACAGACACCCTGCAGTACTGGAAGCAATATGGTACCTGTAGTTCTGCTCCGAGGTCAGCCTGAAAAACATGCCAATGAGCATACTCTCAGGTACCCAGAATTCTAAGTAGCTGGAGGGCTGGGGAAAGAAGATCACAGTGTGAGAAGACCCTGAACAGTGCTTTCTCTCTGCTTCTCTTTCTCTGTCTCTTGTGCATACACACACTTCTTTTTTCCTTTTTTTAGATTTTGCCATAGGGTGTGTGTTCTCACTGGAGAAAGACAGAGAGAGAAAAAATAATAATCCTCCACCAGGGGAGATAGTCACACCATAATCCCTTCTCCTCCATTCTCCTCTCAGGATTTTGGGCACATACACACACGTGACCCGAGTTTCTCAAGCTGCTGGATCCAAGACAAGAACCATGGAGTCAGCTATGTAGGATTAACCACCACACCACCTGCTGGTCCTACACATACACTTTTTATAGCTAAGAAAAAAAAATTTTAAGTCAGAAATAATGTCTTCTTTTTTAGAATGAAAATAAATTTTTAATAAAAAGAAAATGCTCACTAGTCAGATTTAAAATTCTAAAGAAGTCTCAAGACAAACGCATTTTTGCTTTGGCCGAATTGACTATTCTTGAGCAACTGAAACCACAAAATAAGAATTATAATTAATTATGAATCAATAAATTCATAATTCACTTCTCTGAGCTACGCGAGTTAAACATTTTTGTCTTTTAGTCATTTTAAATCATTTAAAATATTCCCCATATAATTGTATAAGATATAAACTGATAGTTTTTGTGAAAAAATAGTCACGATTGTTAAACTATCAATTGATATTCAAGATCTTTGCAGAATGGGCCCATGTGGCCAACCATGGTTTGAGTCCTGGACCTGGTCGTTTTCTTTTTCACTTTCCTTTTTTCTCTCTGTCTCTCTTTGGTCAAATTTTAAAAAGTAATAATAATAAATAAAATTAAATAATTATTTTTAAAAATCCTTGTAAGAGACCTACTAAGCTTTTTTTTTTTAGGGGGTTTTGCCATAGGGCTCGTGTGCTCGCCAGACAGACAGACAGAGACAGAGAGACAGAAAGCGAGAAATCACCCCCAGGGGGATGGCCACGCCACAATCTCTTCTCCTCCATTCTCCTCTCAGGATCCTGGGCACGCACGCACACGCGCCCGGCGTGAGTTTTAAGCCACCGGGTCCGGAACACAAACTGTGGTCGACTACATAGGAGTCCAGTGACATAGCCATTACGCTAACTGCTGGTCCCACCTACTAAGCTTTTAGTAAAGAGCATTTTATTTAAAATCTAAGTTCAGTAGTCTGACAGAAAGAGACATCACTTTAAAATTGTATTTACT